TGTCGTGTGATGCAGATCTGATGGGATCGTACTTCTGTGCTCGTCAGACACGTCTGACTGCAGTTTGTTTGTTCACAGATCAGCGGTCAGTGTTCCTGTCACACCGGCTTCGGAGGAAGAACGTGCAGCGAGTGTAAAGAACTGTTCTGGGGAGACCCTGAGGTCAAATGTCACGGTAGGCTTACCGTGCCATGTGCTCATGAGACGGCGTGATAGATGTGATGGTGTAATAAAAAATAAAGCGGACCTGACAGACCTGGAGCAGAGTCCCGATCTGTCAGGCCCCAGGTCAGAATCCGGTCCAGAGTTTCGGTGCAGTCTGGGACTTGTTTCTGACTGAGATCAAACTGCAGACGCTTTTATTGTGGGATCCTTTCAGCTCCCAGCATCCTCGGCGGCTGCAGCTCAAATTAAACCCAGATGTTTTGAGGCCCAGCTTCCACAGAGATGGGACCAGTCTGTCCGTCTCAACCTCCAGAAGTCCACAAAGACGCTTTGTTCAGTGAAGCTGAAGGTCAGGAGGAGGAGGTCTTACAGAAACAAGGAGGAGAGAGGAAGAAAAACAGAGCTGAGACAGCAGCCTGGAGGAACACAATCAGTCCCTTTGTTTGTTTTCTATCAGTTCACATGAGAGAGTAGCGCCCTCTGCTGGAGATGAATTAAACAGCAGTTTGTGTTTCCTTCAGGTTCTTGAACTCGTCTCCTGTCAGAGCCTTCGGACAGCGCTCCACATCAGTCATCCAGACTAATCCTAAACCCTGTGACTCTCTGGCCTTTCAGGGCTCGCCTGGTCAGAGTGAATCAAATTTAAAACAACAAAAATTAGCCTTAATTTGTTGTTCCTGCAGCAGAATAAAGCTTCAGATGTTTGGAGCCAAATGCTGAACACATGTTCTTAATGTGCAAACAGAGGTGTGGTTGGACAGGAAGTCACTGTGAAACTGTGTTTTTGCACTTGAGTGTGTCTCCTGCAGACTCTCATTGGTTATTGTTCTCCTCAGCCTGTGACTGCGACCCTCGTGGGATCTCCGAGCAGCAGTGCAACAAAGTCAGCGGTCACTGCGTGTGCGTGGAGGGTGTGTCCGGGCCGCGCTGCGACACTTGCGCTCGCGGATTCTCAGGAACTTTCCCCAACTGCAGCCGCTGTCACGAGTGCTTCGCCGAGTGGGACAACATCATCGGCCAGCTGACCAATCAGACACACCGCCTGGTCAACAAGGTAAACGCCCTCAAAGCTAGCGGCGTCAGCGGGCCGTACAGGAAGTCCATTGAAAGCATGGAGAAGAGCGTTGCCGACATCCAGACCATCCTAGATGGGAATCCGGCATCACAACCGCTAACGGAGATCCAGGAGCTGCTGCAGGAGGCCGGGTGGGATTGCATTTATTCTGATTAATGTTTCTCTCAGACTCGGTTACCAA